AATTGATCAGCCTGGTCCCTCACTCCACCGCCACATCTAGTCAGAATGACCAATGGGCAGGGAGTTGTAGCCTAACAACACCTGGAGTTTACCATGCTTGCCGCCATGTCAACTCCCTCCTGCCCCTCTCTCCTCTTAACTGAGCCACATTTTACAGTACCTTTTTTGTACACTCCTTGGGGCACGGGACTTCCAGGAATGGCTGGTGCCCACTGGGGCTGTTAGGGCAGAAGATGAGGAGTGGGAGAGGTGGTGCCAGAACCAACAACGGGCAGAGCCAACTAATTCTAGTTTTGCCCCAATTTAAAACATTGAAACAAAAGGAGAGGAAGCTGAGAAGGCAGCAACACCCCTAGACCAGTAAGTAAGAAGACAGGCAGATGGGGGTGGACTGACAGCAGACTGAGGTTGCTGACCACAGGGGTGCCAACTTGATTAAAATATTGGGAGGGCGCAGGCTAGCCCTATCCGGCAAAATTGATTACAATACATGGTGCATGCACACACCATTTGAATGGCAATGTCCATCAACTGAGGGGGCAGCCCCTTAAATATTTTATTTACCTTGTCCCCTAGGAGTTGGCTCCTATGTTGGTGATGCAGTGTCCCATTCAGTCGGTAGACCAGCCCCGTGATGGGGTGAGCTCCCGTTCCCCGTTCCTGCTCCTGCCAACTTAGCAGTTCAAAAGCACGAAGTGCAAGTAGATAAATAGGTACCACTCCAGCAGGAAGGTAAACGGTGTTTCTGTGGGCTGCTCCGGTTCACCAGAAGTGGCTTAGTTATGCTGGCCACATGACCCGGAAGCTGTACGCCGGCTCCCTCGGCCAATAAAGTGAGATGAGCGCCGCAACCCCAGAGTCGGCCACGACTGGACCTAATGGTCAGGGGTCTCTTTACCTATGGTGATATATACAACTTCTTCTTCTTCTTCTTCTTCTTCTTCTTCTTCTTCTTCTTCTTCTTTTAAGAAGATGGTTCCTCTAGGAGAGATGTTTCCAAGGCACCACCACAATGCCATTACACTCCTGTCCTTTGCCTCAGTCTGCATGCCCTAGCAAGAGTGAGGAGGGATGAGCAGCAGGACTCTGCCATGCAATGACTTGGCAAGGCATACCTGCTAGCTTTTCCCCTCCAACATTTTCTAGAGGGCCAGGAACTGCTTTGCAAAGCTGCCTTGGCTGTTATCTCCCAGGCTCACTAGCCAAGGGTTCAGGACTTCTATGCCCAATTCCTTCAGGACCGGAGTGATTATCCCTATGTATGTTGTCTTGTCTGTGTGCAGATTTACACTTTGCTTTCTCTCGCAGGCTTTCTCCAGCTAGTACTTGTCAGAGAGTGTGAGCAGCTGAAGGGAGAGCTGCTGGTTAGCATGCGACTGAGAGGGACAAATCAATCAGCCCCCACCTGGGCATCTTAATCAACAGCATGTGGTTCACTGCAGCTAAGCGCTCCCGGGCTGCCAATGGCATCTTCTTTAGAGATGCTATTGATTGCTCTTCACTCTCTTCTGAGGAGAGTTTCCAGCTGCGCAGACAGCAGCAGGGAGAGGGGCAGGGAGAGAGGTGGCCTTTCAAAGCTCTCTGGGATTCGAATTGACGGTTTAATTTCCCTGAGGGCGGGCGAGCTGTCACTCGGCAGCAGGCAGGTTTGTAGGAGGAAGGAAAGGAAATGGATGTTTGAAAGGTCCATTGATTATCCGCAGAAGCTTTGCATGTGGCCAGAGGAAGGGTGATGGGGTGTCAGGCCTGCTGAAGGAAGAGGAGGAGGCATCCTTAGAGAGAGGTAATAAGAGAAAGACTTAATACTTCAGAGGGGTGTAGAAAATGTGATATATCTCCATGAGGTGAAAGAGAGGAGCTATGTGAGCCTTCATGTTGAGATAAACATTACATTAAATTAGGGGTGGGAAACCTCAGTAATTTTGGGGGTAGGAAACTTGGCTTCCAGGCCTCTTGGTTCAGCCCTTGTGACTCTCCAGGCCACATACCTCACTAGTTCTATTCTATGCCCTCCTGGGGTGGAGCTACACACAGGGGAAAAACACGCTATAAATAAGTCAGAAATTGAATCGTTATAACCAAAGAAAAAAAACGTTATGGAGCATCGATTAGAAAATGTTTTTGCTCTCCAGTGCCATCTGGTGTTACATGTTTATAACGCATTCAAAACGCTGCTTCTTGGCAAATGTAGCTGAGTCCCTGAAGTGTTTTTGCCTAGCTAGAATGTGTCCATGAATTGTGACATGGCCTCTTGCTAGCCTGGGTGGAAAGAGTGGGTACAGAAACCTCTGGTTCTTGTGTGGCTGGAACGTAGGTTGCTTACAGACAACCTGTTTACTGAGCATTCATCAGGGTTTATTTGTGGGGTTTTTTAGGGGAGACATTCCTTCTCCCCTACTCTTGCAGTAGACTTTGGACTACTGCAATGCGCTCTACGTGGGGCTACCTTTGAAAGTGACCCAGAAACTGCAATTAATCCAGAATGCGACAGCTAGACTGGTGCCTGGGAGTGGCTGCTGGGACCATATAACACTGGTCCTGAGAGATCTGCATTGGCTCCCAGTACGTTTCCGAGCACAATTCAAAGTGTTGGTGCTGACCTTTAAAGCCCTAAATGGCCTCGGTCCTGTATACCTGAAGGAGCGTCTCCACCCCATCGTTCAGCCCGGACACTGAGATCCAGCGCCAATGGCCTTCTGGCGCTTCCCTCATTGCGAGAGGTGAGGTTACAGGGAACCAGACAGGGGGCCTTCTCGGTAGTGGTGGCCGCCCCATGGAACACCCTCCCATCAGATGTCAAGGAAATAAGCAGCTATCCTATTTTTAAAAGACATCTAAAGGCAGCCCTGTTTGGGGACGTTTTTAGTATTTAATGCGGTATTGTTTTTAACACTCGATTGGGAGCTGCCCAGAGTGGCTGGGGAAACTCAGCAAGATGGGTGGGGTATAAATAAATTATTATTATTATTATTATTATTATTCCCCCTCGGAGAAGTTAGACAATGTTTCATCAAACAAATGTTATCCCTGTTGAAAGTGCAGTAGCAGAGATCATTTTGCATACAACTAAAGGGTGAATTCTGCTTTATTAGAGTGGGTGGATGGAGGTGTTGCATAGCAACCAGTCAGAATGACATGATTCTTGCTGAGGTAGCACATGCTCTGATTCGCTGGTTAGTTTCGAGGGAGTTTTCCTCTGGATGTTAATGTATATCACCCTGGTGATATGTTAATGTATATCAGCCTAGGCCTGAACAACTAAGAAAGACAAAACCTCATATTTGTTGCTCTTCCTACTTTTGCCTTTGGTTCCACTCACGATTGGCATGTAGCCCCTGAAAGGTTGCTGATGGTGGATTGTGGCTCTTGGGCAGAAAAAGGTTCCCTTCCCTTTGCTTGAACCTCTGCTTATGAGCATGTAAGGAAAAGAAGGGATATGAGAGAGATTCCATAGGGATCTCTATTGCATTTCTGTTTATTGATTTAGTTATTTTTTGTCTTTATAGACAGGGTAGCTCAGATCAAGGTGGCTGCCAACGTGTAACATTACAAAAAATGAAATCATCTGTAACACAAGAATGACTCTCACAATAATCATATCCTCAATATACACTCAAACTTATATGGATGGGACTATCAGACTGCAATTCCACAGATTTCCACTCATGCACAGGGGCTCTTCCTCCCCCCCCCCCATGTGCAGAGGATTGGGGGAACCCCTAGAACAGATTAAGGGGGTACCCAGGGAAGAAAGAGGTACAATGTTCCACTGTGCAAGCAAAAATCCTTGCATTGATGCAATGTTCTCCTTAGCACTATGCTGCATTCCACTGATTATTATAATTATTATTTTTCATAGTTATTACTATTATCCCATTTCTCCAAAAGAAGCACAGAAATGGGACTGTAATGATAATCTAAGCCTGCAAAATGGACATCGGATAAAAAGATACTGGCCACAACTTTTTTTTAGCAGCAGCCACAGCACACACACATATATCCAGTCGCAATGAAAATTAGGATCACGGTGCTTTGGGGATAGAGGTTAACACCCCTCTCACACTTGTACTGGGTCGTCGTCCCCCCCCCCCCGACAGAGGAGGGGGTTTGGATTTGATATCCTGCTTTATCACTACCCGAAGGGGTCTCAAAGCAGCTAACAATCTCCTTTCCCTTCCTCCCCCACAACAAACACTCTGTGAGGTAAGTGAGGTTGAGAGACTTCAGAGAAGTGTGACTAGCCCAAGGTCACCCAGCAGCTGCATGTGGAGGAGCAGGGAATCAAACCCGATTCACCAGATTACGAGTCCACTGCTCTTAACCACTACACCACACTGGCTTCATCCTTGAAGCTTTTACTTCCACTCCGAGGACTATTTTCATCGTATGGCACTGGGGCCAATTTCTGGAGGGGGAATGGCACAGAAAGAGAGGGTTAAATTCAGTGTCACTGAATGAAAGCATAAAATAATATACATCTAGCATGCAGATCCAGGAGTGCCAAATAATCCCAGGATTATAAAATGATTCATAATCCACAGGACTCAAGCAGGAATATTTATCCAAAAGCCATTACATGCACAGGCAAAAGATTGGTGCCATTAAGAGTGCAATCACACACTATGATGCATCACAAATATTTCAACTGAGGGTAGAAAACTGTTTCTTTAACCTTTCTTTTCTCCACCAGCACAGAGCAATGTTTGCTTCACTCATAACTGTTTTTTCTAGTAGTTTCAAATGTAAATAAAAATGTAAGTTGTTTCCTTTCCAGCTTCTAGAACGCAACCTAAATTGTCCCTGGATAATTGGACTACTGAAACACTCTTCAGGCCTTATTGTCCAGATAAAAGGAAGTACCGGTAACTGTACCACTCTATTTGCCTGAAATACTATGTCCAGTTCTGGGTGCCTCAATTTAAGAAGGATGTTGACAAGCTGGAACTTGTGCAGAGGAGGACAACCAAGATGATCAAGGGAAACCAAGCCTTATGAGGAATGGTTGAGGGAGCTGGGTATGTTTAGCCTGGAAAAGAGGAGACTGAGGAGAGACTGAGAGGGGATAGGATAGCCATCTTCAAATATCTCAAGGGCTGTTCATGGAAGAAGGAGCGAGTTTGTTTTTTCCTGCTTGGGAGGGTGGGACTCAAACCAATGGATTCAACTTACAAGAAAAGGAGATTCTGACTAAACACCAGGAAGAACTTTCTGACAGTAAGAGCTGTTCAACAATGGAATCGGTGGGGTTTTTAAGCAGAGGTTTGATGGCCATCTGTCATGGATGGTTTTGTTGAGATTCCTGCATGGCAGGAGGTTAGACTAGGTTCCTTCCAACTCTACAATTCTATGAGTCTAAAGTAAGAAACGTAAATTCTATAAATCCTTATGTGGCTCTGGTTCTCAGTACTTCAAGGACTGTCTCTTCCCATATGAACTGACTCAGACATTGTCAACATCATCATCATCTGAGGCCCTGCTCTGTGTGCACCCTCCGCTGGAGGTGTGGCAGGTAGCAACACAAGAACTAGTAGCCTTTTCAGTGGTGGCTCTCCGCTTGTGGAATTCTCTCCCCAGGGAGGCTTGCCTGGTACCATCATTACTTAACTTTAGGCACCAGGCAAAAACATTTCTTTTTCACCAGGCCTTCGGCTTCTAATGATCTGTGACCTCCCTTTTAGTGAGTAGGGTGTTTCAGTCCTGCCTTTTAAAAATATGGATGAGTTTTAGATTTTTCTCTGTTTATGTTATTTTTACTGTATGCATTATTTCTTCATTGACAAGTTGTTTTGAGCTCTTTTTGTAAAAAAACAAACAGAAAATAATAGACGGGACTAAATTGGGCTCCAATCTATTGAATTCAATAGAACTTCTGAGTAGAAACAAACAGCACTGTACTGTTAAGAGAGCTTATACACACTCCATTCTCAGTGGTTACACTTTGTGTTCTAGAGCTGACTCTTAACATGGAAAGAGAGTCCTGGGTTTGCTCTCTGATGGACTATGGCTCAGATTAAGTTCAATACAGGCCTCGAAGCATGCCAGGAAATATTCTGCTGAGCAGGACTCCACTACTTTGAACAGAAGGTAAGCATTAAATTCTTGTCTGTTGATTGTGTGGAACAACCAATGCCCTTCTAAAGCAAGGTGTTCACTGTCTGCTTCAATGTGACCTTGTGTTTCCTCTCATTATCTTCCACTTATTAACCCTCATCTAATTGTTATTGATAGCTTCATTATTCTACCTGGGACAGCAATGATGTGCTTGCTGACCTTGCCCCAGGTGATCTGAAGCTCACTACATGTTTTGGCTATGGCTTTGAAGAGAGGACAGAGAGAGGGAACCTTTTTTAAAAATAAAGAAGGGGAAGCCTAAGGTTGCAGAATCATAGAATTGTAGAGTTGGAAGGGACCCCAAGAATCATTTAGTCCAACCTCCTGAATGCAGGAATCTCAGCTAAAGCATCTATGACAGGTGGTCATCCAACCTCCAAGGAACAAGAGGCCAGAAACCTCCCAAGATGGATCACTCTGCTGTTGAACAGCTCTTACTGTCAGAAAGTTCTTACTGATGTTTAGTCGGAATCTCCTTTCTTGTAACTTGAAGCCACTGGTTCAAGCCCTACCCTCCAGAGGAGGAGCAAACAAGCTTGTTCCCTCTTCCATATGGCAGTCCTTGAGAATAAATGGTGCTGCTAGGTCCAGACCCCAAGAAGGCTCCTGTACATTTTGAATTGCATCCAAAGGAACATTGCACCAGGTGTAGCTTACCCCCTTTTCAATCTTCAGCGTCTTCTCGTTGGGGGCAGCAGGGTGCAGAGGACAAAAGGAGTCCACCTCTCCAAGTGCCTCAGGGCTGGGGTGGAATGAGAAGGACACAACAGCCATGTGCGCTTCTCAAGCTGCCCTGCCAGCCTCATGCAACTTTGCAATGCTGGGATCTGATAACTATGCTCACTACATCATTACCAAGAGGGCAGTGAGGGTAGCAGAGACAGAAACTATGTGCCAGAGGAAGCCCTCAAGGGCACCATTGTGCCCATGAAAGACCATGTTGCCAATTCCTCTTAAAAGGAATCTGAGGGCTTCATGCACAGTTTTCATTTCCAAGTGAATACTTAATGCTTGCAGGGATCTTAGCTATTCATACTGCAATTACTTAATGTGACTGGAACATCTCACGTACCTTGCATCTTTGCGTCTTATTATTTTTATTAATCTGCTACTTAAGGTGCATTACATACTTTTTACATGGATTCTTGGATTTCAATTCTTGGGGATTTCAATTAGATAAGAGATAATATTTTAAAGATGAAAGCAATTACCACTTCCTGCATTGCCTAACATACTTAAGGAACCTATTCTTTTTGAGCTGTCTGTGCCTCGAGATACATAGCTGAGAAAAGAAACATTGCTAGTATTATGCCAGATTATGTGTTTAGTCTTACAATGCCATCCTATGCCTATTTACTCAGAAATAAATCCCATTGTGTTCAGTGGGGCTTATTCACAGGTAAGCGTACACAGGACTGAAGCTAGGGTTGCCATACGTCCTGATTTTCCCGGATATGTCCTCTTTCTCATGGTTAAAGGTTCTTTCTGGGCAGAGTTTTAAGATTTGGTAAAATGTCCTGGTTTTTGTTGTTGTTGGCTAGCCCGGTGTCGAAAGCGGCAGCAGTGAAGGGATGCAGGCAGCCAATGGCAGCGGCAGATGGTGGTAGCAGGGAAAAGGGGGCGGGGTCTGAGAGAGAGAGAGAGAGGAAAAGGGGGGTCTGAGAGTGACTGATTGAGGAGACAGCAGGCAGGCAGGTCACCAGGAGGGCTGAGGGGACATGTGGCGGTGGTGTGCAGGTTGAAGTGTGATGGGGTTGTTGCATAGCAGGGCGGAGAGGTGCACAAAGGCTGGCCATGGAAGCTTGGAATAATCAGTGCTGTGAAGGGCGCCTGGGGAAGGGCGTGCAGGATTCTGGGGGCTAAGAGTGAGGAGCTGCAGTGAGAGAGGGTCCCCGGGGCTAGCTTGAAGCGTGCCAGGGAGGGTGGCAAGGAGGCTGGGGGCCTGGAAAGTGGGGAGGGAGGAGGAAGAGGGGCTGTGGGGTCTTTGTGTGGGGCGAGGATGATGAACATGGAGTCATCAGCAGCTGGGGGAAATGACTTCTGCTAAGGGATAGGCAGGCTTTGATTTTAGGGAATGTGAGAGGAACAGGGGATCTGGAGCAGCATCGCCAGGTGAGGAGAGGCGGAGAGGATCTTCTGCACCTTTAGCAGGTGGTGGAAAGGGGAATTTCAGCAGGTGTGGTAGGAGTCGGCACATTTGTCCTCTGTTTTGCTCTTCAAAATATGACAACCCTACTGAAGCCTCATAGCACAACCCTAGATAGGACTACTAAAGTAATTCCTATCAAGCTCAATTGGAGTTGTCCCGTGTAATTTGCCTAGGATCACAGCCTCGGTTTATTGGGCTGTTTTGTCTTGTTTTTTGCTTTCGTCATTAGTGTCTTATTGGGTTGGGGGTTGTAATAAATTATCTCTCTCCTCCCACCCTTTCCCCTCCTTTTTAGAAAGGAGGGTGAAACTGTGATCAAGGATATTTTCCTACTTCAGATGGCAAACTGGGTCACAGTGGGACTCCCTAGTTTAGAGAAAAGTCAGGTCAGAGATTTATAAATGTATGCATGGCACAGAGAAAATGGATAGAGAAAGGTTCTTCTCTCATGACGCTAGAATTCATGGACATCCAATGAAGCTGAATGTTGGAAGATTTGAGACAGATAAAAGAAAGTACTTCTTCAAGTTGTGCAGAGTTAAACTATGGAACTCACTGCCACAGCAAGCAGGGATGGCTACCAACTTGGATGGCTTTAAAACATGATTAGACAAATTTATGGAGGCTAAGACTGTCAATGGCTATTAGTCACAGCGACTATGATCTGCTTTTGAATACCAGTTCCCAGGAACCGAAGAAGGAGAGTGTGCTTGAATTTCACTTGGGGGTTTCCCACAGGTCAATGAGCTGGGTAACCCATTTGCCAAAGGAAAATAGCCACTGTAAGCATAGAAAAAGAACTTAAATGAATAATATTATTCATTTAATGACTTAAATGAATAATATTGACCACACATGGACCTCTTTCAGGGCGTCATTATTACAGATTCATTACCATGTTACTAGAGCTGTCAACCACTTAAATACTTTTATTGGGTAGATTCATCACCTGCCTTTTAACTAATGCATTGATTTGATAATTACAAGTCATTTGAAATATTGAAGGCATGATGAGACACCTTGGAATTTAATACAGATGCAGCACAATTCTATACATGGTTATTCAGAAGTTACTCCCTAGTTAGTGTGTTTAGGATTGCAGCCTAAAGCTACTTTTCACTATTAAAAAGAACAGCCATTTTTAATATTTTCTATTATACCACCAGTATAATAGACTGGAACCAAAATAGCATTTTTTTAAAAAAAGCAACATAACTCAGACCTTCATATGTGAATTTGTCATCATTGATCAAAATTGGTCACTAAAATCACCACAGTCAATCAACATAAGCTTCACAGCCTGAGCTTAAGCCTGTTTACTTACAAGTAAGCCCCAGTTACTTTAATAAGAATTACTCCCAGATAAAAGTGCAGATTGCAGTTTGACAACACTAGTTTATGGAATTTTCTTTGGAAGGAAGAACTACTATGTTCAATGGAATCTACTCTGAGATAAGTGTTCATTGGATTGCATTGTGAAATTGCCATCAAAAACACACTAACTTTGTGTGAACTCAGTGAGACTGACTTTCGAGTAAACACATATGTTTAGGATCATACTTGGATGCCATTGAAGTATTTTGAAGGTTCATTAAAAGCAAAAGTAGTAGTAATTATAGTCCATAGCAAACACTCCCCAGATTTGTATTTGGGCAATATTAGGACTAACCATATCACAAAACAGTGGCAGGTAAGGGCGGGGCTTGGCCAAAGGGGGCTTTGCAGGACCTGCTGATTGCACGGCGATTCTGGAGTGCCTGACAACCAGATGATTGACAGGTGGGTGGTCCTGCCCACCTGTCAAAGTTGGCCAACAGGGACAGGGAGAGATAAAGATGTGGTTCCCAAGCAGTGCTAATAGATGGTGAAAACCATCAACTTTGATGGGCAGGTCCTTCCTAACAGCTGCCTTAAGGCTCTAGAAAGCCCAGCCACCTAAGATGAGGAG